TCTTTTGATATAGAAAACAAGAGAAAGATGAATGAGAAGACGAAATGATAAAAATGATGAATCGTCGATACGATAAATCGAAATCAATTGAAATAATTTCAATTAGTTTGCATATTTTAAATGCAAATCTTTCCCGAAAGTGGATTTAACAGAAGGCTTTGGAAACTCGGGTCTGCCAATACGGGATGAAAAACGAAGTGGAAAAAAAGAAACAAAAAAAAAGGGCGATTTCAAAAGCGGGGTATGTGGAAAATGTAGTTTTCGTTACGAATTCGAATTAAATACGAAAAAACTAGAATCCGAGCTTATCGAATATACTGCTAATGACACAAACGAGTACGTACCAGAATATTTGACGAATAAAAGTAACTGACTTTTTTTAGGATACATCGAACAGTCCAAAACGGAAATATTTTTTAAACTCGTGATTAATTAATGAGAGAGATAATTTTCTATAAAACGTCAATATAGTTTTCTATAAAAAAAATTCAGTAACATTTCAAATAAAGAAGAAAAAAAAAAAGTATCTTTCAAGTAATTATTTTTTAATGACAGCAACTTCAAAAGATATTTTTACATTTAACTGAATATTTTTCGATATCTCATTATCCGATCATCGTCGACAATTACCTTTTAAATTCTACTTAATCTTACTAATGTTATAAATAATATCTAATAAAAGAAAAAAAAAAAAGGAGAAAAAAAGAAATAAATGAAAAGAGAAGATAAAAGATAAAAGAAAAAGAGAGAGAGAGAGAGAGAGAGAGAGAGAAAGAGAGAGAAATAAAGCATTATCGTGAAGTAGAAAAGAAGACTGGCATTAAGTGACGTGTGACGAACGTGTGGGAGTTTTCGCGTACATATACGCGATGTTTGCGCGCTCGCGACAATAGAATTTATCTCTCGCACTTCCAAGAAACGAACATTTATTTTGCGAAATCAACGGAAAAAGAATATCTTCGGACTTTGAATTTCTAAAGGGAACGTGCCTCTTATAACTTTTCAATTCTTTTCTATTTTCACTATTCTATTTTATAAGCAACTCATCAATGATAACATTCGCTACGTGAGTTCTCTCACGAATTTCTTTGAATTAAACGTAATTTCTTGAATATACAATTTTCATCGTTTTAAATCTTTACTAATTATTTATTAATCATTGTTATGAATCGATATCGTACGAAAGCACGTAATTGACATCGTTAAATAAATTGTTACTTGCGATTGTGAATCTATACGTACGAGGTACCTATGTTCTTATAAATAAAAAAAAAAAAAAAAAAAAAAAAAAGAAAAAGGAAAAATAAAAATAAAAAAGAAAAGGAAAAAAAAAAAACTAAAATATTGACAATGTACACCTGTGCTGCATTACATAAAAATCACGTTGCATTTATGAAGGGTAGAAAAAAAAATAGGGAAAGACAAAGGATCGATACAAAAGAGAGGGAAACATATCGAAACGTTTTTTCAGGAACGTTCGGGCGTACAATGGAAGGTAAAATCAAAGGGATTCTGAACGGAGAGATAGAGAAAGGAGAAGACACAGAGAGAGAGAGAGAGAGAAAAAAAGCGAGAGAGAGAGAGAGAAGGATAGAAAATCGAAGCGACTAGGTAACGTAACGCATCGTCTCCGATAGAATAATGCCGGAGGGTGAATCGTTGGTATAACGTGTCTCTACATAGTATTCGATTCGATAGAAACCTATCGCTTTGTCGTGTACTCCATTTCGCATAATTAGTTTCGTCTAAGCGATCCTTCTCTCATTGATCTAAAAGACAATATAACAGAGAAGAAA